TCATCAGAGGAAGAAAACCTTAACCTCCGGCTGACACATGCGATTCTGGCAGCGTCTTTTGCCCCTAATTTCTATAAAAAAAAATTATATGCAGAGAGAGATCCTCCACTCCCCTCCAACCCCATTTCTACAGTCCCAATATTTCTCTCCTAAAAACTCACCCTGACTTTTACCAAATTACGTATCCCCTCTCTTTCTTCTTTCTTTATGGCTTCTCAATTTTTATCTCTCTCTCTCTCTCTCTTTCCCGGAAAAGAGAATTAACCCTTTTTTCTTTCTCATTTTTCTTAATAAAATTAATATAGGTAATATTGACCTACAATTATATCGAAATTACCATAGAAATAAAACATGTATAGAGATTAAAAATAAACTGCAATCGGCCTAAAATCGATACAATATGTATATATAAAGAGAGGAGCAACAAACAAATCGGAAATCGAAGAAAATGATGAGGAAGTTTACTCTCTCAGTACATCACCAACCTACACAAATTGAAGACAGATAGCAGTTTATTACTACTAAAATGTCTGTTTCCAGGATTTGTATTTATATTTGTAATGCTTTCCACATTCCGATATGCCCATGATTCGCAGTTACGTTAAAACTGCAGTGATAAATTCATGATTTGTATTTATATATAAAGACCCGACAAATAACAGTGAGAACTATACAAAAGCTCTTTACAGATTTATCATAAACTGAAAAGATTCATAATAAATAGTTAATTGAAAGTAAACATAAAGAAGTAAATAAACACTTCTTTCCCTTTCTCCCCTTTGTTTTGCTAGGAAAATGCACAACTTTCTTATTTGATCAACCAATTTTAAGTACCTCCAAAGATGTAGACGAGTAACAATGCATGCGTGAAACTATATTTAGTTTGAGATCGTATTAGATAATTTACCACTTATTTCAAAGCGATCAAATGTCATACAACATTTACAACTGCTGAATTATCATAGCCAATCCAAAAAGGCAAGTATTCATTTTGTGCCCTTCAAGTAATTCCTAGATCAAGCCTCCAGTGTTATACATGAGACTCGTTGCTGCACCAATACAGTCATCGTTTGCTTGACTATCAAATAGAGTACTAAATGGTCTGAGGGGTTGCTGCAAATTTAATTAAATGATTATATGTATTTAACATACCTCTTTTTCACTGACCAACTATTCATGTAAAGTCAGATTCAGATGAAACAATCTTATCTATCACTGCAAATTTAATTAAAAGAAAAA